AAAATTAATAAAAATTGATAAATATATGGTTAAATACTATATAAACAACTTTACTTAATACTATTTTAATTAATATACTGTAATAATATATTTTTTTAAAATAAAAAAAAAACTCTTTCCACAATGCATCAAGTTTCCTTTTTAGGAAGGTGAAAACAAAATGTTCGTAAGAAAGATGTCCAACAACCACAGAAGCCAAGGGGCTTCAACAAATCCTCCTAACAGATCAGAATGTGCGGTTTCAACAAACCCTTCTAACAGATCAGAATGAGCCTTAAGATATGAAAAAAGAGTAGGGAAAGAGTTTATCCCTACCAGAACACAACCTTATGCAAAGAAGCCCAACACAATACCCGGAAAAAAGAATCCAACAGCAGCACCGTCAACCACTCACAAAACACCTCACCAGCAGCAAACAACCAACCCAAAGAAGGAAACAGAACAATAAGCATGCACAGAACAGATCCAAGACCAACAGAACAGTCAAGAAACAATCAACAGCACTTCTTTCTGGAGCGAAATCATCGAAATATACTACAACGAGACAAGCACCTTAGCAACTCAACAACACAGCCAAGAAACTGAAACCAGTACTGAAAACAGAAGAGAACCAAGAATCGATGACACAGACGAGGAGATGAAAACAAACTCTGATACTGCAATAGAAAACAGATGAATCCCTGTTCAAAACAAAGGCAAGAACAAAGAAACAACAAGAGATCTCAATAAATCCAGACCATTCTCACTCTTTAATAGAACCCAAAGATATGGCAGAAAGCACTTTAAAGTAGGCATCTTAACAAGTCAAGTTAAAGGAAAGACAATACACCAAAAACTGGAACATATTCTTCTAATACTCAACTTCCCAGAAGGACTTCTCACAGTATGCATAGAAGGAAAAAATGAAGAAATGAAAATCGTTGCCATTTTCGGAGATCAACAAGCAGCACAACAAGCCACAACCATAGTCATTCCAGAAACGAGTGACAAGAGACTAGAACATATGGAAACAGAATGCCAAGAGATTAATAAGGAAAACTTTATAGTGATTTGGGATATCCCCCTTAACACTAAACTCATAGAAGTAAAACAAGTCTTTTCCAGATATGGACAAATCCAAGGAATCACAATGAAAACCCAAAACTTGTGGCAATGTGCTACAATCATCTTCAAAGATCAAAAAGCTAAAAACAGATTAGTAGTGAAAAGGAGTACCCTTATCAGAGGAAACTCAGTCAGAATCAATGACGCAAGATGGTCACTCATGCAAATGAAAAAAAGACACGAGATTGCAGTAAAACTCACAAACCTTCCACCCAACACAATAGCATGGAACCTCAAAAATATTCTTACACAAAGCAAGGGATGTACAAGCTATATCCCAAGATCAGCAAACAGGTAGTACAAATCCAAAAAATTTGCAGTCATCAGTTTCGAAACACAAGAAGACCTTCTCAAGGCTGTAGAAATACAATACACACTAGGAAAGACCACACTAACCTTTAACTCCATCACTACCAAACTATGCGCAATCTGTGATGCAGCTTCTTATCTAGCTAAAGACTGCTCAACAAAAGAAAGAAGAACACAATGAAAAGATTACAACAAAACCCAAGCCTCAAGATTCGGATCACTCTACAACAGATTCAAACCAGAAAAGACCAACACCATAAGAAACATTAACAATAACAGAGCAACAAGAAACACAAAAGTAGCAACATACGCAGAAGCAGCTGCCCAAATATCAAGATCCAAACAAAAAGAACCAACCTCTCTCTCAGAAATCACCAACATTCTCAAAGACATCCAACATAAACTAAACACAATCAGAAACCAAATCTCAAACCTAAATGAATATATAATCAACCTGGAATACTATAATAAAGAATATTATGAAATCATGAACAGTGACCAATCACCGAATGAACAAGATACAACAGTACTACCTGGAGCAGCAAACATATATCCTGTATCAGACAATAACTTAAACAATCTCAGAAATACACAAACACAACTCTTTTCCTCAATCGACGGTATGCAAAACAAAATAAACCAAATCTTCTCCACAATGGACACACTAGTACAGACAACAACCCAACACACCACCACAAACAATAAAAATGGGGAGCTCAATCAGCAACAATAACAACACAAAAGATCAAGACCAACAACTTGAGACAGACAATGACAGCAAAACAACTATTAACAAAAACAACACCACACCTCTTTTCCAACAAATCGACACAATTCTCATATGGTCCGACACAGACTCCAGTCCAAGTACAGATGAACAAAACACTAACACCAACTATCCATTAACATCCACTACCCATCAACACCCACTACCCATCAACACCCACTACCCATCAACACCCACAAAAACATAAAGCAATGAAATCACAACAATAAAAACAATACAACCATCTGAAAAACCAATGACACTACATATACGGAAAGAGAAAAACTTACAACAAACATCTCAAGCTCAAGAATGGAACAATACAACAACTAATATCAAAGATATCAAATCAGACTACAGCAAACTATTACTATGGTCGGATTGGATCGAAAAATCAAACAAAGATATAATAGTACTGATAGAGACAAACATCTCCAAACAACAAGGACAACATATCAAATTTACAAACTACCAGGCTATATGGAGTGAAACAAGTAACCAACAAAAAGGGTTCGGGGTAGCATTATTAATCAAACACAACATAGCAAAACACATATTCAAAACATACACTTGGGAGAACAGACTAATTGGGACAGACCTTATCTTCAAATACAAAAGAAGAATCAGAATCATTGCAACCTACATACCTGCAAGCTCTCACCAAAAATATGACATATGCACAAA